TATTACTATGGACAGGGTACGAGCCTGATAAGGATCTCGGCAAGAATCTCCAAGGGATCACCAAACTGGTACAGTTGAAGTGTCATGGTACAAATTTAGGGCTTGGGTATGAATACACTTGGCAAGAGTATCAGGATTGGTCGCCGCCATGGCGTGGTCCTTATTATCTGTTGGAACAACCGGTACCACATTTACACCAGACATTTCATCAAGCCGTTATGATGTAGGGGTCTGAAGATGATGAAGCTCTAGTTGGCATATGGAAGCTATTTCTGGATGATGAAGACATGGACTGCAGTGTGATAGTTGAGGAGGAGGAGGATGAGGAAGACCTTAGTATTCAGACCATGGAGAAAGGAGTTGTTCTCAAGAACTAGACTGTTGTAACATGCCGGGCCTGTCGAGTTCCTGGGTAGCCTGGCAATTAGCATCAATTATTTTTAAAAGCAATTTTATAAGCATCTAATACATTTTAAGTATTTTGTTCTGAACGTATTTCGTTTTGAAATAATTGGTCGAGTCATCGAGCCGTACTTGTTTGACGTTTTCAAGATTTATTTAATGCATTATTATTTTTAGTATTTATTATTCTTCTTTAAATTTTTTCTCTACAACATTATTATTCCCTATCCCGATGAACCTACGATAATGACATGTAATGAGACAACGCAATGTAAGGATAGTGATTCAAAGGATCTTGAAGAGGATGTAATACCTGAGGAAATTGTTAGAGAAGTGGAAAATTTTGAAAATAAGCCTAAGTCTAATTTGGACGAGATCGAGATGGTTAACTTAGGGGATTTTGAAACAGTCAAGGAAACCCGTATAAGCATTCACCTATCACCGTCAGAGAAGGAAGAGTACATCCAGTTCCTGAAGGAGTATGAAGACATCTTTGCATGGTCTTACGATGATATGACTGGTCTGAGCACATCCATACTGGCTCACAAGTTACCCACCGATCCCATGTGTCCACCAGTGAAATAGAAGCTCAGAAAATTCAAGCCAGATATGAGTTTGAAGATAAAAGAGGAAGTCACTAAGCAAATCAAAGCCATAGTTCTCAGAGTGGTTGAATATCTGACCTGGTTAGCCAACATTGTGCCGGTTCTGAAGAAGGATGGGAAGGTCAGAGTATGTATCGATTATCGGTATCTAAACAGAGCAAGTCCCAAAGATGATTTTATGTTGCCCAATATACACATACTAATTAACAACTATACAAAGCATGAACTCCGGTCTATTGTGGATTGCTTCGCGGGGTATCATCAGATCAGGATGGATGAAGAGGATGCCGAAAAGACAGCCTTTATCACACCATGGGGAATGTACTGCTATAAAATGATACCATTTAGCCTAAAGAATGCTGGAGCCACTTACATGAGAGCCATGACAAACATTTTCCATGACATGATACATATGGAAATAGAGGTGTACGTGGATGACGTCATCATCAAATCCAGGAGAAGCACATATCATATAGCAGACTTGAGAAAATTCTTTAATCGGCTTTGAAGGTACAATCTGAAACTGAATCCTGTAAAGTGTGCCTTCGGAGTCCTTGCCGAAAAATTTCTAGGATTCATCGTCAGCCGCCGAGGGGTTGAATTGGACCCGTCAAAGGTCAAAGCTATCCAGGACTTGCCACCTCCAAAGAACAAGAAAGATGTGATAAGTTTCTTAGGGCGTCTCAACTATATCAGCCATTTCATAGCACAATCAACTGTGATTTGTGAACCGATTTTCAAAATGTTGAAGAAAGATGCCGCAACGAGCTGGACTGAAGAATGACAGAAAGCCTTCGACAAAATCAAGGAGTATTTATTTAAACCACCTGTTCTGGTCCCACCGGAACCAGGGAGACCTTTGCTGCTTTATTTGTCCGTACTAGATGGGGCTTTTGGTTGTGTTCTGGGACAACACGATGAGACGGGAAGAAATGAGCAAGCCATATATTAACTGCGTAAACTATTCACACCCTATGAAGCACATTACTCTTTGCTGGAGAGCACCTGATGCGCTTTGACATGGATAGCTCAAAAGTTGAGGCACTACTTCTTTGCTTATACCATATATCTCATATCAAGAATTGACCCGTTGAAATATATCTTCCAGAAATCCATGCCTACCGGAAAGTTGGCAAAATGGAAAATATTGCTGAGTGAGTTTGACATCATCTATGTAACTCAGAAGGCAATCAAAGGGCTAGAATCGGCAGATCATTTGGCAGAAAATCCTATAGACGGAGAATACGAACCATTGAAAACGTATTTTCCCGACGAGGAAGTATCATTTATGGTAGAAGACATCACTAAAGCATACGATGGTTGGAGGATGTTCTTTGACGGAGCCACGAACTTCAAAGGAGTAGGTATTGGAGCTGTCTTAGTATCAAAAACTGGCCAACACTATCCGGTATCCGCAAAACTCAGGTTTTCATGTACTAACAATATGGCAGAATATGATGCTTGCATCTTGGGACTCAGGTTGGCCATTGACATGAACGTTCAGGAGTTGCTGGTGATTGGAGATTCCGATCTCTTGGTACATCAGGTTTCAGGAGAGTGGGCCACGAAGAACACTAAGATGGGTGATGGCGTTGGGTCTTCTTGTCACGAACCCAGGCATCCACAGAATTGATACCACAGAGAGTGTGTCTCAATGACTGATATGTAGGACGGGTGATGGAGTTGTCCAAGGGTTCCTGTGGAACATCCGGAGCTCCCAAAAAATTGCATATAGCTGTTGCCGAAAAATCGATCAACCTTCCTCTAATAGGCACTAACTGCTCAGGATCATTCGGATCAAAACCAACATAAAATTCCTGAACAAGGCTGACATTTATATCCCCGGTGTTTCTAAACACGTAGCTTAAGCCAAGGTCCTGAATATCTTTCCAAATTGATTGGTACTTAGCTTGTAGGCATCGCTCATGAACAGCTGACTCAGAATGTATATGTCTCGGCTGACAAATCTTGTACCAATCCTTGGCAGATTGAGGTATGCTCTTCAGTCCAAATTCTTGTTGTCCTTCAGGTTGTGGGCGTGTGACTGCTATAGCTGCAACTGCTTGCAACCCTTCAACTTGGCTTGAACTGGTCTCCCCACCTCTTCTCTTTTTCAGTGAAGGTTTGGAAGAAGCCTTGGCCTTAGTCGGAACAGTAGCCTTGCCCTTGCCTTACCATCATCTTTTTTAGGAGGCATAATTGTACCTACATAAGTGAACATTCCTCAGTGATAAAGCAGATGAATCACTTCAAAACATGGTCTTGCGACCCCACACTTAAGAGTTCACTACATGATTTTCAACAATTTTGAGGCTACTCAGACTTCACCTCTTTATTTTAGCATGCGAATAAAGCAATGGCAAAATGGTGTTTACTATAATTGCGATGCATGTATCTACTGTTTAGACCACCTAAACTTGCAATTTGGAGTGTTGCAATGCAACATAGCATTAGTCATTACAATACCCGGAGAGTAGAACTCCATTTGGGCCAAGAATGCCTTTGAGGCATTTCGACAAACACTTTGCATGCACTAGTGTTGTCAAATTGGTTGTAGATATGAGGGATTGCCTCACCCTCCCCAAATAGGCTTGGGGATTTCATATTATCACCCTTGTACACAACAACAATACCAATCCTATGGGGTTTATGGGATTAGGGCGAGCAAGCACATTGTTGCTTTGAAGATATGCCCAAAAATGGTGGAATTGCATTTCGTTAACTAAATTCAAATTTTTGATAGAGGAGAGAGTTAGAAACATACCTTAGATGCTTAGGAGGATTCAAGTGTTCTTCAATCGATGTCCCAAGTGATTGAAAGAGATGATGAGCGAAGGTCTTCAATGAAATTAGTGTGTGAGGGGAAGGAAAATAAAGGGACAGGTAGTGTAGTGTTAAGTGTGGTGTGTATGTGTGTTTAAGTATGTTATAACTAATAGAAAGAAGTTAAAAAAAAACTAAACAAATTAAAAGCAACATTAACCTGGCAACGCAAGCTCACAACGAGCATAACACCATGCGAGGCTATCCGTTTAGCGTGAAACGGACTGGGCGGCGCGAAGCTAAAAGCGAACTAAATACTTGGCGATGCAACCTTTGCCGCGAGATTGATCTCGCTTAATCCCTCACTGGGTGAGCTCTATAGCACGCTTAAGATCTGGCGACATGCGGTGTTTAGCGAGAAAGGGAGTGGTTCGTTGTGCTTAGGCTGGGCAAGCTCCCAAGCGAGTAATGGACAGTAGGTTTACAACAATGGATAGTAGGTGATGTGAGGTCCATGGCGATCTCTAAAGCGTGCAGGGGGGCTGGCCAACTGAGTTTTACAGCAAAAATGGGGGATGGCCAGGTGAAACCAATAGCGAGCTAGAAACATGGCTGGTGAGGATTTTAGCGAGCAAAGGACCGTGCGAGGCGATCTCTAACTCATGTTGAGAACCTGGCGACGCGAGCTCCCAGTGAGAAACTTACCTGGCGAGGCGATATACTTAGCGATCTGTGAAGCAGACGACGCGAGCCATAATGCGAGGTTCTTTCCTGGCGATGCGAGGTCTACTGCCAGGTTTTGCTCGCTACATCCCACGTGAGGCGAGGCTAATGCCAGGTTTTGCTCATTGTATCCCTTGCGATGTGAGGCTGCCGCAAGATTGGTGTCGCTATAACCCTTGCTGGTCGAGTTGTATAACGCGTTGAAGACTGGGCGACGCGAACTGGAAAACATGCTGGGCAGTAGGCAATGCAAGCTGTGCCGCGAGGTAAAATGTTTGGCATTGTTTGGAGCATACGCATGTAATTTTTATTTCATTTTGTGAATGACTCCAAGCGCCATGACTTTCCATCGTGCTCCATTACCTGTTAGACACCAAGATTTAGCTAAAACCTTGTTTGTGCATAAAACAAATGAAAATTTATAGTTAAGCTTAAATAAACTATGAATTAGGTTGCCTCCCAACGAGCGTATGATTTAACGTTGCGGAACAACGCATGCGATCAAACTTAAGGTTCACTCAACAATTGAGGCTTCTTCAAATGAATCACCGATACAACTTTTTCCTCCTCAATGCCAAGGTAATGTTTCAACCTTTGCCCATTAACTCTAAACTTATTCGTTCTATCCTTGGATTCAATTCCTACAGCTCCATTTAAGAGTACTTGCACCACTCTTAAATGGCTCCGACTATCTAGATTTCAGCTTACCCAGAAATAGTTTCAATCTTGAATTATACAACAACACGACATCTCCGGGTTTGAAAATCCTCCCTTGAATATTCTTGCCGTGCATGATCTTCATCCTTTCCTTGTACAACCTGGTGCTTTCAAAAGCATGGTAACGGAACTCATCAAGTTCATGAAGTTCTGTAATTCTACTCGTACCAGCGGCCTCCATGTCAAGATTTAATTGCCTTAATGCCCAAAAAGCGCTATGTTGTAGATCCACCGGTAAGTGACATGCCTTTTCGAACACCAATTTGTATGGTGACATACCAATCAGAGTTTTGAATGCAGTGCGGTAGGCCTATAGTGCATTATCCAATGTTTTCGCCCAATCAGTCCGAGTAGCATTTAGAGTTTTGGTCAAAATACTCTTGATTTCTCTATTTGACACCTCAACTTGACCACTTGTTTGTGGGTGATACGGAGTGGAAACCTTATGGCTCACGCCATATTTTTCCAGCAACTTTGCGAAGGCTCGATTGCAGAAGTGAGTTCCTCCATCACTAATGATCGCTCTTGGAGTTCCAAATCGGGTGAAGATATTTTTTCTTAGAAAACCAATAGTTCCCTTTGCATCATTTGTTGGGAGTGCTACAGCTTCTACCCATTTCGAGACATAGTCCACTGCTACGAGTATATACTTGTTGTTGTTTGATCTAACAAATGGTCCCATAAAGTCGATTCACCATACATCAAATACTTCCACTTCTTGGATTGGGTTCATGGGCATCTCATGTCGACGGGAAATATTCCCTATCCTTTGACACTCATCACAGCTCTTTACCCAAAAGTGTGCATCTTTAAACAACGTCGGGCAATAGAAGCCCGACTCCAAAACTTTAGCATCTCTCCTTACTCCTCCGAAATGACCTCCATAAGGCAAAGCATGACATGCCTGCAAAACAGAAGCTTGGTCTATCTCGGGAATACATCTCCAGATCATGTTATCAATACAAATCCGAAACAAATATGGTTCATCCCAGAAATACATGCGACAATCACGAAAGAACTTTTTCTTCTGCACAGAAGATAATTCATAGGGAACAATACCGCTTGCAAGGCAGTTTGCAATGTCTACATACCATGGCGCTTCTCAAGGCTCGTGGCTAACAGTTGTTCATTAGGAAAAGTCTCCATGATCTATTCCAACCTCCACCTTCGTTTTAGCTCCTTTAAGCCTAGACAAGTGATCGGCAACTTGGTTCTCCATTCCTTTTCGGTCATGGATTTCCAAGTCGAACTCTTGCAGTAGTAGGACCCATCTAATCAAGCATGACTTTGACTCCTTCTTATCAATTAGGTACCTGAGAGCAGCATGGTTAGTATAAACAATTACCTTCGAGCCTATCAAGTAGGACTGGAATTTTTCAAATGCGAACACCATGGCTAACATCTCTTTTTTTGTCACTGTGTAATTCAGTTAAGCCCCATTTAATATTCTACTTGTATAGTAGATTGGATGCATGATTTTATCTTTTCTCTGTCCAAGTACTACTCCTACAACATGGTCACTTGCATCACACATCAGATCAAATGGTTGCTCCCAGTTAGGGGCAACTATAATAGGTGCAGACACCAACCTCTTCTTCAATCCCTCAAAAGCTACCTTGCAGTTATTAGAAAACACAAAAAGGTGATTTTTTTTCAAGCAGTTTACACAAAGGGTTAGCAATCTTGGAAAAAGCTTTTATAAAACAACTGTAGAAATCGACGTGACTAAGGAAACTCCTTATTGCCTCGACAGAAGTGGATGGTGGCAGCTTCTCTATTACATCGACTTTAGCACGGTCCACCTCAATGCCCTTACTTGACACTAGGTGTCCCAAGACTATACCTTCCTGTACCATGAAATGACATTTTTCCCAGTTTAGCACCAGATTAGTCTCCATACATCATACATCGCCGCAACACCCTTTTCAGATTTCTAAGGCAATCATCAAAAGAATTTCCCACCACTGAGAAATCATCCATGAAAACCTCCATTATATCCTCTACCATATCTGTGAAGATCGCCACCATGCACCTTTGGAATGTGGTGGGTGCATTGCATAGGCCAAACGACATTCTCCGAAAAGCGTAAATGCAATATTTCCATAATTGTTAGAGCTTTTAAATTGATTTTCCTGTACTTAGATTATAATTATTAATTACTCCTTCAAATTATTTTGTGATGAATTAGTTACCTAAAATTATTATTTGCACCTATAATACATGTTTCAAATATTTTTACTTCATTTTATATAATTACATTAGCATTTTTAAGCTATTTGCATAATTTTACAATAATAGCCTATACTCATCCATAAATGCTTTTTATTTATGTTATTTGTGTAAAAATAGCATTTTATATTTTTATAACACTAAATCATTATTTTTAATCATTTTAGTGCATAAATAATATTTTTATTTATTTATTAATCATTGTTTATAAATTATTTTAATAAAATTTATATATTTAAATAGTAGCCTAGATTTAAACCAATTTTCGGACCAAAATGGACAAGCACTTTAGCCCAATAGACCCCAAGCCCAAACCAGGCGACCCTTGTAACCAACCCGGTCGCGACCCGCTTAATAACCCGCCCTGCTTCCCCGTTCGATCTTTGCCGTTTATCTTAAATGATCAACGACCCATAATTAACCTACTCTTTCCTTATATCCCCAATACCCCAAACCCTAGAGACAAATACCCACCCCGCCGCCTCTGTATCCTCACACCCTCTTATCTCTCAAACCTAAACCCTAGCCGTCCTCACTCAAATCTCAGTCCCAATCCTACATTACATTGAAATCATCCATGATTCCTTTCCTTTCTTGCATACGTGGAGTTACTTACCATCCTTTGAACGCTACAAGTACTGGTTACTTGATTATTTATGGAAGCTGAGTCGTTGTGTTCGTTTGATTTCGATTCTGTATCATCTTCATGTTTCTGACCTGATACACTAACTATCAGACCCCTAGGCTTCGATTCAGTGAGATTTTTGCCATTTTTGTTCCTCGTCTAAACTAGGGTTTCCTGGATTTGCCCTAGAACTGATTCTAATTGATTTTGTATGCCATATTTTCCTTATTTTGTGTTTAATTTGCTGTATTTCCTTATTTTATGTGTTAATATTTAACTACTATATAAGCCCATCCCCATTCCCTTTTGAGGGAGACCTTTTAATCGGAGATCCATTAAAATTGAGGCTATTACTCTATTGTTCTTTCATTCTCTGTTCTATACTTTTGTTCTTGGCCGACTGAAAGCCAAGGCTACCGGAATTCGATTCTTTAACCTTCGTGGGTGCAAGCACCGCTCGGGGTTCATTTGAAGCTCTTGGGATTTTTGGCGCACTAAGATTCTGGGTTCTTGCTCTTTGTTGATATTTAGAATATTGTGGAATTTATTCTTTCTTGTTGTTTATTTAACTGGTAAGTCTTCTGGATTTACAATTTCATTCCTTTATGTTTATGCCCTGTATATTCATGCCTCTGAACTTCATGACTTAATACGTTAGCATTTGAACCTTTTTTGTAATCTGAACTTTCCTAACACTTGAGTTTACCTAATGCTGCCAGTTCTGAAACATGTTTATGCCTGATTTGAATAATTTGGACTCTCTTAAGTTCGTTTAGCTAATGGGTTCCGGGCTACTTCTGTGTGTAACCTTGTTAGTTTTACACTTGTTTTGAACCTCTTTAGTATTTATTTTTACCTAAAGCAGCTAGTTCTGAGATATGTTATTTGTTTATGCCTAATTTGGATAATTTGGGCCCTCTTAAGTTAGTTTAGTTAATGTATTGGTGCCTGAATATTCACATTTGTTGTTGGGCTTGAATATGCTTTCCTGCTTTGTTCTGAATCCCTGTAATAAATGCCTCACATATGTAATGTGTTATAACCTATGTTAAGACCTTCACTATTAACTATGACATGCTCCCCTATTAATATGTCCCTTAGCATGTCTTTGGCTCACTTGATTACATATCCCTTCAGTGATTACTTGAGACTTTAGGGTAGTTATCATAATTTATGTTTCCCTACCATGTTTGATACTGTTTTGTTTCATGATATGAGTTAACATGCCTTTCTTTTGATACTAGGATGGATACTTAGCATAATTTAGACCTTTAAGCTTTAAAACTTTTAAGTTAGTGCCCTACTTAAACTTGTTTGGTATTATGCACCTTTGTATAATAATCTTGTTAATCTTTCAAACCTGTTTCTCCCTAACTCTTTCAATATGTTTCTGCCAATGTGTTACTTTTGCTAAGTGTTGAACCTGCTTCTAAGTCTTGTTGGCCTTCTTGATTAGCTGTTCTGTGTTCTCAACTTTGCTATGTCTACTTTTAAACTATAAGTGAATTTCTTCAACTTCTGTCCCTTAACCATTGTCCACTCACTCTCATTTGTTACCTATGCTATTATGAACCTATCATTCTTGGTCGACTGAAAGCCAAGGCCACCAAGACTCTTACTATTGACCTCCCTAGTGCGAGCACTGCTCGGGGTCCATTTGAGACCCTTTTGAACTCTGACACATTAGGACTTGGAGTCTTTTGGACACTCTCTTTACTTCTAATACCTGAGCTATCTCTGACACTCAGTTCTTCCCTCATTCTATCTATTGAACATGCAAACTATTTTGTTTAAATAATTTCTGTGTAACTCGATGTTTGGTTATGTGGTCAATCTATGGTTGTCTTGTTTTGGCTTGGGTTCCTCTATGATTTCTGGGTTGTGCTGATGGATATAGTTCCTTGTTAATCTGGGTGCGCTAAATTGGTGAAGAAAGAATTTTGTTGAAGGCTCAGGCAGTGCTGGGTATTTCTTTTAAGCCTGTTATAGGTCCGCTGTTATTATTTGTGTAATCCCTTGTAATTACATCCATTACTGGGCCTGTAATAACTTTGTAATGAACAATTGGGGATGTTAGTAAAAATGGGGGAAACGGGTATACTTAATGTTTGCATGAAAGGGTAGCAAGCATGCTTATAGGATTCATATGATTTACTTGTTATCCAACCTGCTATATATGCTTTTCAATTTCTATGTGCACTGTTAGAAATCATGTCATTAGGAGAATCACACACACACACTACTCGTCTACCATCAAAGCATGAGTTCAAATGCTTCATTTATTTCTATGTCTACTGCTACGTGTTACTAGACAGCAGGCCTATAGG